ACTACTGCCCCATTCTTAGCTGATACTCTGAAAATCCTGGCCACATCCTCTGTGTGTGTGTGTTGGAGGGGTGGGCAAGCAGGAGCCACAAGCCTAGATGACTTAGATGGCTACAGCCAAGCCTGACAGGCCCAGCAGAGACGAGCGGGCAGGGCAAGGACACGGGTGGGAGGGCTGGAGAGGAGCCGTGGTGAGGAGGCTGCCCTGCTTTGGTAGTGGCAGGGAGGCCATGCGGCAGCAAGTCTGGCCAGCAGCTGGACCAGGCTCTGCACCCCAGAGGGCGTCAGTTAAGAACCCGGAGGGGCTCAGGACTCTCGGATTTCAGTGTCACTAGGTCAATAAAATGCTAATGGGGAAATCTAGACAGAAGTCCAATTGACTGTGGAAAAGAGTCTCTGGGTGTCCCACGGATCACCAGGGACACACCCTATGAGGGTCAGCAGCAGCAGAACTAACTCCAGACCTCACCTGTGCTTGCTGCCTTCTTAGAACCAGCTCAGGACTGGGTGGGAAAGAGTCTTCAGGGAAAGAGCCTGGGTGATCGCAGATGCCACCAGCTGAGGAAAGCCAGGGATGGCTGGGGGAACTGACAGTCGGGAGAAACTCACTCGGGCCAGGGTGAGAGACTGTCTAACCCAGTTAAGAGGGGCTCCACAACGTATGCTTCAGTTTCTGGCAGAAAATCACCGGAAGAAAGGGTAGGGGGATGAGAGAAACCATCTGGCTTCGTGAAGCTGGAGCAGCTGGGCTGAGGAGGCCCAGATAGAAAGAGGAGAGCAGAGACTGGGAACTCGTGGGAATGGGGCCAGGCCTCTCGAGGTTTCAGCAGCTTATTCAAGAAAGCAGGGGGTCAGAAGGGCCAATGAGTGCTTTCACTCTGGGTCCATTCTCCCGTCTGGACCATTCCAGAGAACTGCCAGGGTCAAGGTCCCTCCAGCATCCTCCTCTTGGGGACGTGAGCACTGGCTACTCCCTGGGAGGGCAGAGGTGGGTCTCAGCTGCTTCTCCCCGCCGTGGCCCAGGTAGGAGCTTGTGGGGAGGGGAGGAGTTAGGAGTCTTCCATGCGGTGAACCCCTGCCTTGCTGGGCATACCACGTTTCACTGAGGAGGAGCCCAGCCTCTCACTCATGGCCTCCTGCAGCTTCTCCCCCCTCATTGCCCTTGCTGAGACATCCTGGACAGCAAATCCCAGGCAACTAAGTGACATCATTGCTCCCACTACCAAACCAGCAGCTGCCAGTGGAGTAGCTGAGACAGACGCTGCTTCCCATGCCAGGCTCCCGTGCACTCCCTCCTTGGTGATGTCAGAGCTGCCAGAAGACACTGAAGCCTTGGGACCACCCAGCCTCATCCTGCTGGCCCTAAAGGATCTGCGGCACAGCTCCCTCGACTGCCATCCTCACCTCCAGCAAAGTGCAACTGGGAGTTTTAACCGGAATGGTATTGATCCTATGGATCAGTTTGAGGAGAAATGATATCTTAATAATATTGAGCTTTCCGATTCAGGAACATTCTAGATGTCTCCATTTATCAGCTTTTCTTGAATTCCTTTCCATTTTATCATTTTCTCTGTAGAGATCTTAGCCACTTTTGTTAGACTTTTTCTTCAGGCATTGCATATTTTTCAGTTTAGCAAATCTATAGGGGTATCTTTAAAATTTCTTTTCCCGTCTTTCCTGACAAGCTTCAGTTCGTGACAGGACAATCCAGTTATTTAGTTACCTTCAGAATATCCCAACCAGCACTTTCATGTTGCCCAGCCTGGTCCTGCACCACCATGTGGGGCGTAGGGGCCATCCAGTTGTCTCCGGGTCGTGGCCTCTCACTTCCAGGGAAGGAGCCCCTTCTGGCTCACTGTTCACTGTTCAAATCAATGCTGCCACGATCCACCCCACTCTCTTCAATCCATCTCTGCAGGTTCCTGAGGCTTTGTGGGGGACTGACTCACTCTAAACTGTTTATGTTGGTCCCTAGTTCCTTTCTGTGAATCTTTTTTTGTGAACAGAGTATGAATTTAAGGAGTGGGATGGAGTGGTTAGATTTAAGGCAGGGACTTGAGTAAATTTATTTTCCATGGAGTGGTGAGGAGAACACACAGAAATGAAGGAATTGGGAGCATCCATGACCATGAAGATGATGAAAGAATGAAGAAGAATACAAGTTGACCGGCTGGTGGACCAACCAACCAACCAGTTGCAGGGACAAAACATAAGCAGTGACAACGTCAGACTATCTTCCACATCCATGGTTCCGAGCTGTCCTTTCACAGCAAATGCTTATGCTCATCTGGGTCATACACAAACAACCATGCCAGTGAAATAAAAAGTACAGCACAGGGTCCCAGGTAGGGGTGGGAAATGAAAGCTGTCATGGATTCAGGTCATGGTTGGAAGCCACTGGTTCTTGGGCCAGATGCAGCTGGATATTTCTTTCAGAGCTTCAATTGTTTTCCAATTTGGTTTTCTGCCTGAAAATTTTGGAGTTGCTTTTCCTGGAGTCTATTTGTGAATGAAGAATATAGCTCAGTGAGAATCCAGGGACCCAGCTGCGCTCCATGATCCTCCCAACTGGGAGGTGACCTTTATCCCCAACTTGCCAGAGCCCCTTTAGGGAAATCCACAGGGAAAGATCCATTTCCCTTTCTCTTTACACCATAGATGCACCTTGGCGTGTGAAATGCAAATGGCCCAAGGATGGCTCTCTTCATTCTTGGGTAAAAGACTCCATTATCTTGCTCCATCTTCTCATAACAGAAAACAAGGGATAGGGGAAATTAGGAGGCAGTTTATGGTCTATTCCACCCCCAATGGTTACTTCTAGGAAACTGGCTTGTTCCTTGATTTGCAGGATTTAGGTGGAGTGTAGATGGAGGCTCCTGCAGTTGTCAATTTCATGCACTTCCCAGGGAAGGTTGTCCGTATGTCTCCCGTGCTCAGGAGGCATGATTCAGAAAGTTTACTGCAGGCTCTCCAGACTGCCTCAGACATCGTCAGAAACACATCTGAGTCAATTGTGGAATGACTCAAGGCTTTGAAATATTTAAACCATATGTCTCATGACACTGGATGTAAACAACGCCGGTTTCCCCACTGAGAGGATGTCATCCGAGACTGAGGCACAGCTCGGCAGTGACTGCACTCCTAGCCTCAGCTGGTCATGCTGCTGTGGGTGGTGAACTGTCAGAGCTCCTAGGCTGCAGGGCTTGGAATAGGGCCATGCATGGGCAGTGACACCGTGTGTCCCAAGGAAGATGTCAGGGCAACCCAGGGGTCTTCTCTAGGTCAGGACAAGTTCTGTGCTCGTAAATAAGACTTGTACAGGAAGGTGAAAAAGAGTACTTGCTTCTCTAGAGAAGGCAGGAAACCACCATTCTATCACCAAAGGATGTACCTTAGGAGCCTTACTCTACGAAAATCAGTTGGCATCCCCAGGCATTCTCTGAGTGAGAAGAAGACTCTGTATTGTAGGAATATTGTCTTATCTTTTAAGTCCCTCCAAGGTTGTTCCCTTCTTTCTGAAAAATACCTGCAGAGCACTTGACCTGGGAAGATGCTAGTTAACCTCAGTGTGGTGTAAAATACAGTGAAGTCAGAGGTGCCAGATTCGTCTCCCTTCTGCCAGTTCTTAGGAGTGGAGTAAATAATACTGGGTACTTAATTGTTTGAGCCTCATGTCTTCCCTCTCTAGAGGGATGCCAATACCTACTTTATAGGGACGTTTTGAGGACGACATGCGACAATATATGTGTAGCACATGATTCAGATTCCAAGGCATGAATTGAACATTCATTCAAAGAAGACTATGGATATCTTCTCAATGAACATGGATTCGAAGGCCATGCTGGACCCTCCCACTCCCAATTAATCTTGAGACCAGTAAAAACTTGAATGAAAATAGAAGATATGGCGAGGAACTCTTGCTTTGGCCTCCTGTAGCTCTGAGTTGCATCTGGGAAAACTACTAAAGGAGGGAGGATAAGGCTCAGTAGGCTGGAGAGATCTGGAGGGCTGGGCCCGGAGAGATCTGGGGGGCTGAGCCCAGAGAGACTGTCTCTACAGTTACTGGAGACTGTCTTTAAGGGCCTCGAGTCTGTAGCTGTGTGATTCTCCTAGAACCTTTCCTTCTCATCCTTCTCAAAAGTTGTTATGGTAGCCTAGGGGCTGCTGAGTTGCTGTTACAGCCCCCCTCAGAAGCAGCTGTCCTGGTGGTGAATCCTGGCCAGTGGATGCCAGTGGTTCTGGCCCATCTACAGAGGCTGAGGGTAGAAGGTGTGGCTCACACCAGCATCTGTTCCTCCACTGCTGAGGACAGTGGGGGTGACTGGCTAGGAAGAGCACAGATGATCCAAAGGACAGGAAATCCGATCCCACCTCGTACAGCAGCAGGCCTAATCTTTTGCCCTTACACAAGGTGCAAAGCAGAGAAATTTGCTAGTAATTGCTCTTCCTGCCCCAGAGCATGTAAGGAGCAAAGCCATAACCTCTGCGGCAGGGAACAGGAGGCGCCTCTAGGCTGGAGTCCTGAGCCCTGAGCAAATCCAGCCCTGGTTGAGTGTTTTATACGAGGTTGGTCTGTGTGGCTGATGAAATGGGAGGAGGGTGGAACAGAGGCCTGTGTGGATCTGGAGAGCTGGGCCCGGAGAGGTTTGGTCTGCCAGTCTACGGACATAGTTTCTTCTGTTAACAGATTATGTACTAGAGAATGGGGCATAGGAGAGGGACCATCATTTGCCTCTCCTAGAAGGAGAGGCTCAGAGGTTCAGCTCAGTGAGGAATCTGCTGCTTGTGCACCCCAGCCAGGGTCAATACCATGAGCTAAGAGTGTTTCCTGGCCTGGGTTCAGCTCTGGGCAGGGGTAGGAGTTGGAGCACAGATCATCAGGGCAGCGATGTCCCTTCTCCATGTCTTCTTCCCCTCGTTCTCCCTCAATACCTGCACCACACCTCCCCGTCCTGCCCACCCCTGATGCCTGGGAACCAAAAGCCTTTCTCAGAGGCCTACCTTGGGTTTGAAGGCAATGAGCTTCAGGATCATCTCCACAGTGAAGAGGCCAGTGAAGAGCATGTTGAGGATGTTCATGGCGATTTTGAATAGGCAGCTCTGGCCGTAGTGCTGCATCAGGAGAGGGGAACAGCTGTGAACATGGAGCAGGGAGGCCTCTCCTCCTCCCCTTTTGCCCAGCCTTCTTGCAGGCCCTCGCCTCAGCAAGACCTTCCCCGAACCAAATCCACTTCTCCATGGGCAGTCAGGAGGACTCAGGAGAGCCTCCAGGCTCTTCCCTGTTCTGCCATCTCTGAACACATCTGTGTTCCTTTCCTGATTGGTCGTGATGACTCTATGGAGACTTCTGGCACTCAAGAGAGCTCAGGCACAAGCTCTGTCCCTGAAGACAGGTGGATGCAGAAGCCACCTCCACACGCCATGCCTTACCGACACAACGAATGCGTCCAGCTCACTCCCTCCCTCCCTTCTCCATCTCCTCCCCTCTCTCCATTTATCAGCCCAGGGTGCCATGGACTCTTCCCTAAGGACCAGAGAGGAGCGCATCCTTGACAGAGAACACTCATGCTTCTCCAGCTGCCTCCCTTGGTGACCGGGCAGCTGATGCACTGAGACGGCCCTGCCGTTCCAGTACACTTTCCACCCCTGTGGCCCGCTCCCTCCTGCGGCACCGTGGCTGTGCTCCCCCTCCTACTGACCTGCATGGCCAGGCAGATGGTGTTGAGCAGGATGAGGACGAACATCAGGTACTCGAAGTAGGTGGAGTTGACCACGTACCACACTTTGTACTGGTGCTGGTTCTTGGGGATGTACCTCCGCAGGGGCCGGGCCTTGAGGGCGTATTCCACACACTGTCGCTGGGAGGGTGGTGAGGATGGGGAGAGTGGCGTTAGTTACCTGGAGGGTGTGCGGGGCTGGCAGAGAAGTGCGGGATGTGAACGAAACCACACGCTGTGGGGCGGGGTTCTCCGGAAGTCAGAGGACTCATCGGCTGCTCTAGCTTACTTACGGGTCGGAGGTGTTATTTAGAAAATGTCTTGATTTTTCCATGGCTCCCTTAATCAAGGAGAGAACCCCTTCTTGTCAAATCCCTGTATCGAGCACATAGGCAGGGAGCTCACATCTCCCCCCTCCCCGTGATGCCCGGCACCTGGCTCCTCAGGGAGTTGGCATGGCTAAGACTGTGCTTCCTGGCCGACGGACAGCTGGCCTTCTCACCGATTACTTCCCATGCCACAGACCCTCCTTGGCTACTTCTTTCCTCAGTTTTTCTTTCCTGTCCTAAATCCAGCAGGCTGGAGTGCAGTGGTGAGATCTCGGCTCACTGCAACCTCCGTCTCTGGGGCTCAAGCTATTCTCCTGCCTCAGTTTCCTGAGTAGCTGTGATTACGGGCATGCACCACTAAGCCCAGCTATTCTCTTATAATTTTAGTACACATGGGGTTTTGCCATGTTGGCCAGGCTGGTCTCAAACTCCTGGCCTCAAGTGATCCACCCACCTTGGCCTCCCAAAGTGTTGGTTTTACAGACATGACCCACCACGCTTGGCCGACTAAATGAATCTTTCTTATTTGCCAGTGTCCATAAGATGGAAAGACACAGTTCATTGACAGGGAAGAAGATTCTGGGCTAACTAGATTCTTGGGACTCTGGAAAAGAGCCAGTCCGTTTCTCTGCACTGTGCCCAGACTTCCAGATCAGGAGCTGGGGAATCTCCCCAGCTTCTTCTCAAAGCCTCAGCCCTGATGTCCGACGCCTGAGCCTTCACACTCCACCTCCTCCTGTTCTTTCCATCGTTAACCTGACACTAGATCGGAGTCTCAGCCTCTCTCATTTCTACTTTCTAACTGGCCTCCCCTCCTTCCTGTCTTCTTTCAAACCAGGGTCCATACGGCAGCCAGCAGGGTGAGTCTGTGGCCAAGATGTAAACAGGACAACTCCCAGGGGATTGGCTGGCCTGGCAGGGGTCACAAGGGATACATCATGCTGTGCTCCTTCCCGTGGGCACTCCTTATTCACAGACAAGGATGTGTTTCCCCACAGACTCCTCCCAGTGGGAGCCAAGCTGGGGAACAGAACAGAGGGACTACACCAACCTCCTACCCGGACAGCTTCCTGACTCAGCAACAGCACTGCCAGCTCTTCACGGCTAACAGAACCTGTCACGATACTTGGCGTCACCATCTCACTCCCACGTAAGCCTCTTTCCTTCCCCCACCTCCCACACAGGCCTCTGGGTTTTACTTAAGAAACCACATAAGATTGGTTTCCCGAAACTGCCCTGTTCCCCCTCCCCAAGGCCCTCACTCCCTCACAATTCTAGTTTCTCTCCTCCATATAAGTGGTGCTGACCCACTTGGGTCCTTCTAACTTGTCAACTTCTACATAGGGCATAAGATTTTTTTTTTTTTTTTTTTGACAAAACCTATTGTAGAGTATCCTTAAGTAGAAGCTTCACAGATATTTGGTGGCTGAGTACATTTGCCAGTTCTGGGGTTTGCAGGGATTTGCGTTTCTTTTGCACAGGTCTCTCAGAGACTAAGAGCCCACTCTGGCTGAGGAGCGAAGAGACAATCCCTCCGCAGGGTGGGCTTCGCTTCCCTCTGCTCCTTCCTAGGAAGCTACCTGGTTCTTGTCCAGCTCACAGTTCTTGTACTCCTGCTCTCCCTGCTCCTGGAAGGTGACGATGACGAAACCCACGAAGATGTTCATCATGAAGAAGGCGATGATGATGATGTAGATGATGAAGAAGATGGAGATCTCCACGCGGTAGTTGTAGATGGGGCCCTTGTCTTCCGTGTGGGAGTCGATGGAGCGGTACAGCAGCCTGCAGGAGGAGACAGGTCCCACAGAGGGAACTGGAGAGGCTGGATCCCCTCGGCGGAAGGATGGCAGCACTGCGCCAGGGATCCGAGGGGTCAGGGTGCAGGAGACAGCTCTGGGTTGGAGTCCCAGCTCAGCCACTTACTGGCTGTGTGACCTTGGGCAAAGCGCTTAACCTCTCTGAGACTCAAATTCCTCATCTGTAAATTGGAGACAGTAATTCCTGACTTTCCTACCTTGCAGGGTACTTAGAATAATGTATAAGAAGGTGTTTTGAAACTGTGAAGAACTATTTAAATGTAACATGAGTCATGGACATTGATTTCAAATACTGGAAATAGTGGTAAATATTGAGACAGCTTTGCAAACTGGCATGGACTCAGAGGATGTTAGAGGGAATGTAAAATAAATCTCTCTGAGAGCAAATTTCCACTTAGATAAAAACACTCGCACGACCCATGCTACTCCCATCATCACCATGGCCTGGTCGTAGACTTAAGCAGTTTACATGTGTATGTCATTCATTTGAGCCTGGGCCGTGTGCCCCATGGAGCTTGTTACTCTTCACGGACGGGGATAATCTCTTCCTCGTCCTCTGTAGCCTGCACAGCAGTTGGTTATTCTCTAGATATCACCTATATTTTACTACATAATATTGATAACTCTCACCTAATATCCACGCATTGCTCTTGACTTAGAAACATTTAGAATTTTTTCACTTTCAGATTCTAATGTCACTGGAAATATTAGGGGAAAAGCAGGTGTCTCTACAAAGATATAAGAACCTGATGGGAAGCTGCCTGGTAGAGGTGACGCAGAATGCAAAGCCCATGGGCTGCTGTAGGTACGAATGCATTGCCTCTGCAGTGGAAGTGGGGTCCACGCTTCCAAGCCTTTCTTACTTTCCACTGTAAATATAGGCAAGGCTTTTCCTAAGGAGACGGGGTCCAGTCAATAAAACAGAAGCATCTCAGCCATCTGTACCCAATGAAGGGCATGCTGGAGTGGTAATCTTGAATCCTATGGTGACCACAGGGCCCACACTGGAGAAACTCTCCCTACACCCAGCTCCCAAATGCCATAAGGGCAAGACAGAGACCTCTCACATTGTGGCTCATGTTGAGGTTGGAAAGAGACCTAAAAAAAATGGTCATTTTTGGTGGGAGTTTCTTGACACCTTCTAGAGAAAGAAGAGTCTATGTTTCAGCAGTGACAGTGGCCTATAAGTTGTCCTGGAAATATACCTCACTGCCCGGGGAGGACCCAGCAAAACATGACCTTCACAAGGAGTGCGGGACATTAAGAAAACTTGGGGATGGGATGGAAAGTCAGTGCTGGCCCTTGAGTGTTAGGGTTCAGGAGGCCTTGGTTTACATACTCACTCTGGCCACCCTTCAAAGGTGGAGACTGTGAAGAGGGCCATCATGGCCGCCAGAACGTTGTCAAAGTCAAACTTGCTGTTCTCCCAGCTGCGGGGCTGGATGATGGGGTGGTCCACCTCCCCGTCTTTGTATGTGATGTAGTTGCCCCTGAGAGAGGAGGAGAAGGAGTTTACTGTGGGATCTCCCATCTTCCTTCACGCCTGGGTTGCCAGTGACCCTGAATGCTGGGTGGGATGGGACTGCCTGGCTTGAACTTCACAGTTCTAGCCAGGGGAAGAGCTTCAGTGGGCAGAAACTTCAGGAACAAAACATGCTATACATTGTGTCAGTGAGGCCAGGTGACACATGGGCAAAAGTCCAGGTGCCACTGCAGTCTTACAAAATGAGCTGTCCTTCCCTTTGGGTCAAGCCTCCAGCCTCCCGGGGCTGGCCGGCCGTGGCCCGGGCTGCCCTCCCTCTCCACTCACTTGCATTCTGCCTCTGTCTGCTTGGAACTGTCTGAACAGGTGTACAACTTTCCCTGGAAGGCAGAGAACAGAGTATTATTAGAGATGTTCATTAATCAGTGAGGCAATCCAAAAACAATTAGTGAGCATCTCTGTAGCCCAGCGCTGTGCTAGGGACAGTGGGATAAAAAGTGCAGAATCCAGATGGGCAGGGCCTGACCCACATGAACTGAACAGTGGCGAATACAGACGCCAGTGCTACAAGTTAGCACTTCAATGCAAAAACGGGAGCTGGGTCCATCGGAGCTGTGCTCTCTAGGAAGGTCTTGCTGGGCTCAGGGAGGGTTAGATGAGAGTTTACACAGTTGGGGGTGGTGGGGGGAATGCTCTAGGTGGGAGAATAGCAGAACTAAAAGGGTTAGGGCAAAAAGGACCAGAACCCAAGGAGGACGCTGGCTTCGTTGCAGCCAAGGGGCCCCGCAGGGAGCAGTGGGAGCTGATTTTGACAAGTGCAGGGCTCTGAAAGCTGGGTGGTACAGTGGGGACATGATGCTGTTGATAACAGGTCACTGCTGCAAGCTTAAAGCAAGTGACTGACACAGAGGTTCCACAGGGAGGAAGGGCCGTGACCTGAAGGGCAGGTGAAGTGGAAAGAGTGAGGGGCCTCTGGCCTGGTGGCCCGATGTCTCCCTCCCCTGGTCTGAAGCTTGAGTCAGGCTGCAGGTGGAGGTTACGTCCAGGCCGAGTCTGGCCCAGGGCACTATCTTGTTTGTGCTGCATCTGCCAACTCCCTTCCCCGGGAATGCTGATGGGATGGGGTAAGCGGGACCACGACGGAGCCCAGGCTTTACCTTGAAGAGCTGGACGCCGATGCAGGCGAACATGAACTGCAGCAGGGTGGTGACAATGACGATGTTCCCGATGGTCCGGATGGCGACAAACACGCACTGAACCACATGCTAAAGTGGGAAGGGAAGGGGAGAGGGACGTGGCTTCAGGAGATGCCGGGGGCCTTTCCAGAAGGTAGCAGGGCAGCCCGTTTGCCGCAGGGGGCAGTAATTGGGCTGAGAGAGGCAAAGTCAGGCTCCCAGAGTCACATGGGAAGTGATGGACCCTAATGGGATGTAAAGGCCCCCACTGGACTCTCCGTGACTATGAGGAGAAAAACCCTGCTAACTGCCCATCTTACAGTGGTAGGGATATAGGGACAGCAGCACCACAGGGGCACAGGGTTTGCGTGGGATCTCCCTTTGGCACATTCTGCCTAGGGAAGACATTTTGGATGGCTGCCTCTTTTACTACCCTGTTCATTATGGAACAGCCACATGCAGTGGGACCAGCGTCCGGGACCCCACATGGCAGCCACTTGGCCTGACCATCATCACCTTTTCCTTCCAACCCGCCCCTCACCTCTCACTTCCCCAGGGCTGGCTGGAGCCTTCCCACACCTGCCCTTGACTCACCTTTAGCCCCTTGGCCCTGTTGATGGCCCTCAGGGGCCTGAGTACTCGCAGGACTCGCAAGATCTTCACGACATTGATTGCACTGGACCTGGGAGAGGGAGATAGGCAGTGTAGTAAGCTCCTCCTGTTTCTGGGGGAGCAAAAATAATGTGGTAAGGGAGTGTCCTGACAGGTGAATCCCGGGCAAACTTGAGAAAACATAAAGTCCATCTCGGGGACATTCGCATTCTGGGTCCGTTCTCTACTCCTGTCTCCCACCCTGTGAGAGCCAGGAACTTGCCTGTAACCCTGGGGCTTTCCCTTGGGTGAATAAATAACATGCAAGGTGGCTCATGGCAGGTCATTCGCAATGTACAGTGCTACTCACAGGGGCATCCACAGTGTCAGAGAAAGAAATTCAGAGCAAGGCCATGGGAATTCACGGCCACTTGCTAGCCAAGGCACTGAGGGCAAATTTCCTAAATTTTCTAAGTTCTAGTTTGTTCATCTGTAAAATGGGAGTGTAATCAGCTCAGAAGGTCTTTGCAAGGGTTAAATTAGAATTCTATATAAATCACCTAGCTGTGTGCTTGATGAACTGCCTGAATGATGCCTTTTATCATGATGTCTGCTGAAGACATCATTGCACTTAAAGGGATGCCGTACTAATGGTGGGATCTCGGGCCTTGTGGCTGGAGGCAATGGGCACGGGGAGGAGATTTCTTAGTGTTTAGCTTCAAACACATATCCTAGACAGTTGCCCCTGACACCTGTACATAAAACCCACCCAGAGCACACTCAGGACTCCAAGGAAGGATGGGTTTTAGTTGGGGCCCAGGAAACAACACCCTGAAATGACTGCCTTAGAAGCAGTCTCAGAAGCAAAAGTTTTTCTCTGGCCTTCTCTTGCCCTCCTGTCCTTCCGTCCCCTTCTCCTCCAAGGCTAGCCATAGACACTAGAATCCCTCTTCCCCGAGATGGGTCATAGAAACCAGAACCCAGAACCCCGTTTCACCAAAACCAGCCACACAATCTAAAAGCATCACTCAAATGTTCCCTCTGCTTTTCTGTATAAAAACTGGCCAAAAAACTTATCAAAACTACCATGTGGGAGTGTAGATCTTAAGACCCGTATTGCAGAGAGGATCCTGTCCCCCACACAGAAGGAAGGAATGCTTCACAGAGAGAATCTAGAGAGAGGCCTTACTGGGTTCCCCACTTAGTCCATTCACATTGGATCCCTCCCTTCTTGTCCAATCACATTTCTCCATGGCTGTCCATACTCTTTTGAACTTAAGCATAAAAGTAGACAATTTCCCCTGTATCTCTGGGTCTGCATTCTGAAGGCTCTGGGTATACACGTTAAATAAATGTGAACGCCTTTTCTCCAATTAGCCTTTCTTTTGAGAGTTGATTGTTCGGTCACCCTTCAGAAGGCCAGTCCCTTTGGCTCCTGCGCTGCACTACAGGTTCCACACAGCTGGGATGCCGAGGCCAAGCCAGAGCTTCTTGGAATCTCAAGCTATTGCTCTTCCTCAATGTGATGGAGACAGCAGGAGCCAGGCCCCCTCAGCAAAACGCCTGGATGGTTTCCAGAGTTGTCCTTCCTACCCAGATGGGGGTTATTAACCATACCACCTTGGTGAGCAGCTGTGGAGTACATCCTAACCCTCATGGGCTAACTACCTGAGACAGCCTCTCAAGCTTTCAAGAGTCTCATACTTGCTTTGGGACTTAAACAATGAATGTCAGGCCAGTAAGTGGTGATTACATGCCTTGTATGGTCAGGATGATGTGCTCAAGAAGGGGCTGGTGGAAAGATCCAATTTCTCTGGTGCATGGGCCTTTTATTCCAAGAGATGCAAAGGCCGCTCCTATCTATCACTGTGCCTCTCCTACAGTCTCTCTGGGAGGGAGTCAGTTTGCATTGAATCCCAGTGGAAGGGATTTAAAGGTCAGATGGGAAAAACACCGGCTAAAGAGGAAGACTTTCTGGTTCAAGGTTAAATAGTGATTGAGTGGTCGTGCTGGGATTTGAATCTAGACTTGCAGGTTACCAGGCAGAAAATAGGGGGTAATAATCGATGATCACAGTAAAGGGTCATTCCCAAGGCCCCTGTCCCTGCCTGATCTCATTCAATCATGAAAACACCCTTGGAGGAGAGATCCAGGAGCCCTGAGACTTATGCCTTTCTCTATCGTAGGTGTGACCTTGAGCAAGTGTCATGATGTCCTGAGCCCCAAATTTCCCATCTATACCATGATGATAACACTTTCCCTGTCTCCCTCATAGCTTTGTGTGTGTGAGGACCGTAGAAGAATGTGTATGTGGAAGTGTTTTGAAAGTGAAGATGCAGGATTCACACTGTCAGTTGTTAGAATTTGGTAGGAACTAGTAATCAGATCCTTCACACCTGAACAAGATCTGCAACCTTGGCTGTACAGGGGAATCACCTGGAGAGCTCTTAGAACTCGTATCCAGGCTGTACCCCAGATGAGCGAGATGAAAAACACACACACACACTCACGTGCACACGCATACATACACATGTACACTCACACACACACACTACACAAATATACAGTCACACACATACACATACACACATGCACACATACATTCCCACACTCATACGTACACATATACACACATACATACCTATATAGACACATATGCACACAGACACATACACATGGTCGGCTGGTCAACATACACATACACACACACCCACAAACACACATATATCACACACATGCACACCCCACACATACACACTCATGCACACAAACACCCCACACATGCACAGACATATACACATACATTCACACATACACTCACACATAAGGTGCTTTGGCTGGAGAGAGAAGGGAGAGAAAGGGGGGAGGAGGGTCCAGGTCAGGGGAGGTCATGGCAGTGGGTTGCTGAAGGTCAGCCTAGGGCACTGGGGCCGTGGTGGAGGAGGCAGGAAGGTCCTGGAGACAGCCATTTCTTAATAGCGGGGCCTGGCCCTGCCTGTCATGGCAAAACCCAGGTATTTAAACATATTCTCGCCTGATCAACATGTCCCAACTGTCAGACCCCTGAGGACACGAATCTAAGAACTCAAAGCCGCCACATACAGCTTTGGAGGCCCCAGCCCGCTCTCATCACACTGCCGTGGCCCTGCAGGCCGGTCCTTCAGGGTTTGCTTGTCCTCTCTGGCACCCCTTGCTAGCTGCATGGTCCATTGTGGGCTGAGGGGGTCCCACTCACTGGATGCCAAAGGAGATGAGGGACACGCTGACCACCAGCAGGTCTAGGATGTTGAAGTAGTTCCGGCAGAAAGAGCCCTTGTGCAAGAAAGCTCCATAAGCAGTCATCTGCAGGGAGGGACAGAGAAACACGAGCATGAGTGGCCCTAGCCATAGCCCAGAGACCCCTCACACCACCCCTTCCTCCCACAGCATCCCTTGGGCAAGTCCCAAGCACTATCCATGGGGAACAGGAAGGACAAAGACGGCGATATGGTGCCAAGAGTTCTGCAACCATGCACACAACCACCTAAGAATCTCTGGCCCAGGACTTCCGGGTGGCTCCCTACACCTGCCAGGCCATGCTAGACTCTTTAGTCCTACATTCAAAGCCCTTTCAAGTAGGCCCCACCACGTCACTCTAATTTCCCACTGTTCCACATCCCAAGTCCAGGGCTTTGGCCCTGCAGGGCCCTTTGCTGATGCTCTCGGGCTAGGGGCACACTTCCCTACTGCCTCTCCAAATGCTTGAGTCCTTAGGCCAGCTGAGAGCACCAGGCATCTGCAGGGAGTTGGGGGCGGGCATGCCCAGCAGTCCCGGTTTGCCCAGGTTTGCTTTATCATTGAAAATCCTGCATCCCAGGAAACCCCTCAGTCTTAGGCAAACTAGGCCTGAGACTGGTCACCCTGGTGCCTGGTGAGAAGTTCCACTGGTGACTCTGGCAATTAGCATACCTCCCCTTTCTGGCCTCAGAGGTGCTTATGATTGATGCCACATATCCTGAACTCACTTCTGTTTCGCTTCTAGACTGCATCTGGGGTTCTTTGAGGGCAAAAGCTGTGTGGTCAGAGGGGCTATATGGCTCAGTGTCTAAGGTCACAGGCTCTTAGGCCAGGCTGCGTGGGCTGGAATCCCAGCCCTATGGTATTTTATTTCTGTGGCCTGGAGCAAGAAACTCAATTCCCCTTGTGCCTCTGTTTCCTCATTGGAAAAATGAGGGTAAGATCTACCCTACAGGATTGTACGCATCAAGCGAGAACCTATATGTAAAATACTTAGGGCTCCATCCTGCACACAATGAGCTCCGTAAAAGGGTGAGCTGTCACTACAGCCTGGATTTGAATTCTGGATGCTTCCTGGATGAGGAGTTTTGTTCTCTCATCATAAAGCGAGGATACTATCCCCTGCCTTTGTGAAAGCCCTTTGGAAACTTTTTAAAAGAGAACGCACAAGATGACGAGGACTGTTAGAGGACGTGGCCATTATTACCTCCCCCTGAGACAGGTGTAAAGCTGTGCACAGCAAGGTGCTCAACAGATCGCCTTTACAGCCTTTCCCATTTCGCCAGCGTGCACAAGGGCCAATGGTTATCCAGGATAGGGGCTATGACAGGCAGAGGACAGGGAGCATCGGCCAAAAGGGAAAATGAGGAGCTGACAGTGCAGAGGTGGAGCGAGGCTCCCTGGTCATCTGGGGTCCAGTTAATCTCTTTGGAATCAGAGCATGCCCAGGGCAGAGTGTCCGCAGAGCCATTCAAAAGCAAACACAGGGGGAAATGGGCAAAAATAGCTCTTGCAACCTAATTCTTTCCATTTATCTCTTGCAGCAGGGGGTCCCACAGGACTCAGGCACCTGTGCTATGCAATGGTTTTTAGAAGTGGGTAGATTATATAAAAGATGCAAGGGAGTATTGTTCCAGAAGACCCACCATCTGGAAGGCTTGCCTCCCTGCCTCTCAGTGAAGACCTGAGACGGCCAGGGACTGGACTCAGGAGGCTCCCATAGCTCACTGAAGAGCCCTCTGTGCCTGCAGAAGGCCCAGTACTTGCCCAGTCACCTCGATTTTAGTGTTAGGAAGGCTCTGGGTCTGATCCCTTCTTGCTTCTGGAATGGATCTTCTGAGGCTACTACTGAGCTCTAACAGAATCCTCTGTGCTTGGGGGAAAATGGTCCTCAGATGGGTGGACTAACGACACTTAGAGTGCCAACTCTGTCCTCTGGCTTTGGGCTCTTGTTTGTCTGGGGACCCTTGAATGAGACCAACACTTGAGCAAGTGCATGTGTGTGCAGATGGGGGCGGTGGGAACTTGCACCCAGGCAGGGCTGAGGAAGAGTGGCTATAGAAGAAAGGGCAAATGGACATGGGGAAAATGGAGCCTTTACTTGGAAGCCATCTGTGGCATTTAGGGCATCGGAAAAATCCGGGCTCAGGTACCCAGTGCTAATTGTCCCCCTTTGATCCTTTTTTTTCTGATTGCCAGCCACCTAGGTCCTGCTTTCCAATTCTACATTACTTGGGAAAGGGCCCTTGCTGAGATGCTTCCCTCGTGAGGAAGGAAAGGAATGGGGTGTGGCTCGCTAGCTCTCTGCTCAATCATGGGCCATCCCCACCTGTCCAGGTAGCTCTTCTAGTTTTGAGACCTGTCTTATCTTTTGCGATTTCCACGCACTGGTCCAGATTTGCCTTCTTCCTCTTCGATGTGACAGTCCCTTGCATAACTCAGGCCAACTGTCGTGGGCTTACACGCCTTTCCTTTTTAAGGCCAAACATCTCCAGGCCCTTCTACTCTTCCTTGTGCTGTATGTCCCCCTTGGACAGCCACGGTCATCTGTGCCACGACGTGACACTGGGCCTTCAGGCCAGGAAGAGGGACCCAGTGGGAAGGAGGTATAGGAAAGTGTCCCGGCATCGGGGTTTCTATTCAGAAGCACACTGAGTGTAGAAGAGAGTAGGAAAGGGAGGGGTGGGAGGGGAGGGAGGGACCTTGCCATGACAATGCTTGCAGAGACCTTTCACTTAGGCTTGTATGGCAATCCCGAAGGAGAAAGAGCACCATTGAAATCCACAAGGGCAGCTCTGCAGAAGAGCACTGAGAGCAGGGCCTCAGAGCTTCTCTTGTCCTGGGAAAGAACTCTGGTGTCTGTGTGCCCCCCTGCATCTGAAGTCGGGCAATCAAAGCAGCTCACCACGGAAGAGAGGTTTCGCCGCAGTGCATCTTAATGCAGCCACGCAGCTTTTGGTTACCTCTCCCCACCTCCAGGAACCGGCGCCTGGCCAGATCTACTCTCCATGAGTAGAAAAGAAAAATCTGAGCCACATACTTGGTTAGCAGGAACCAAGGATGGAAGCGAGGGGCACTTGAGTGCCCTGGGGACAAGGATACAGGGGAAGGCACACAAAAACCCATTCATCTCTGGAAGTGACTGAACTGTCATGTCCATCAACAGGCTGGCCATGATGAGGGAGTCTCATCAGGGAAGGAAAGGCCTGCAGCTGGCAGTGGCATCAGTCAGGTGTGACATCAGCTTGCATCGGCCACAGCGATAGGATGACAAGGGAGCCTGGACTCCTTGGGAGGGGGAGTCCCAGGCCAGTCTCCCAGGAAGAAGCTAAAGCTGAAGCATAGACTTCAGAGCCTTAGTCCTTCTGTTTGGGGGAAGGATAGAATCTTCTCCCTTGCTCAGAGAGGAGCACATGTTCCCTGAGGTCATGGAACTCACACCCTGACTCATATGAACTAGCTTGGCCATGCAATGGTTTCCAGACTCAGAAACACACCAGAAAAATGGAGAAATACTCTCTCTCTCCTCCCAGTGTTTATCAGAGGTGGGCGTTGCCTGTTCTGAGGGCAGCAATGTTGTAGCAGTTCCCGCAGCAGAACTGAGCTGGGTCAGCAGCAGCCCAGGGCTGGGGCCTGCATGCTCAAGTTCATTTAGCACCTGCTCTCACCCTGCTGAACTCAGCTCTCCAGCACAATTCTCCCTCCCCCATGCCCAGGGCAAGGGACACTGTGACAAAGCTTTGCAGCAGGTGACTGAGGGGTTGGCAGTAGTCTATAGTTGTCTGTGGGAGGCCCTCAGCTGGGAGACCAACTCCACATCTCACACTAGGCCTGTGATCGCTGTTACTTGGCCCCAACCCCAGCTTAGACTCAATGTCTGCTGCAGATACTGAGGAAGGTGCTAAGGACAAATGGGCATCCAAAGAGGGCAGCCAAAGTGATTCTTCCACACCCAGGGGGTTTCCCACTTTCAGAGACTATGCAGGAGGAGGGAAGGAGAGTCCTACAAGGGCTCAGGTATCAATTAACCAGAGCTGGTGTGTGTGGGCATGTGTGTCGGGCACTGCTGATGGCTGCAGCCCAAACCAATGAAATGGCAGCCTCAATGTTGGCACAGCCAACATGTGTCCCTTCCAAGCCACAGACTGCTTAGGGGTGGCTGGAGGGAGGGACTGCAGTGGAGTGGGCTGCTCCTGGCTTCTGAGTCTGGGCAAAGTGCATCACACAAAGCGAGGGGCACTCATTTTTCTAATTTCAGGCTTGGGAGTTAAAAAAGAAAGAGTGAAAGAAACAGTAAAGAGAAAAGAGCCAGCCAGACAGAGCAGAGATAGACAAAGAAAGAGACAGAGGATGCATTGCCCAGGTTGCATTACCTTAAGGATAATTTCTAATGTAAAGATACTAGTGAAGACATAGTCTGCATTGCCTAGGATCTGAAAAATAAGCATAATTGGATTAGTGGCTCTGAGAGTGAACCCAACACCAACAGGAAGGAGCATGTGTGTTAGGACAGACAGCGGCAGAGAGCTGGTGCTGGCGCAAGGGGCTCAGGAGGAGCAGAGGGGGATGGGGGCTTTACCTTCAGAGCAATTTCAATGGTGAAAATGGTGGTAAAAACAATATCAAAATAAAACAGAATCTGCAAAACAAAAAGGAACAGGGTGGGGATGGGATAAGGAAGGGAGAAAAGCAGGATGGGAGGAGAGGTCGGTGGATGTTCACCAGAAAAGGGGCCACACTTCAAAATGAGATGCATGGCGCTTGAGCCTTTGTGCAGGGACACAGATGGAAATGGGGGGTGAGTGGCACGCACACAGCGATCCTGAGGCGGGGCTAGCCTCGGGCAGCCCAGCGGCTTCCCCTGAAGCCCCCAGACAAGTGAGGTGAGCTTCCAGGGCAGGCCTCAGCTGGTACTGGATCTGAGCAGCATCTGGTTGGATGCTTTTCCCATTAATCCAATTTACTTACAAACCCAAATCGGACCACTGAGATGCTTGTCAAAAGGACAGAGAATGGGGTTTGTCTTTTTGCAGGGAGATTCAAAATGCTTTACTCACGTTGGTGGGACTGAGCTGGCCAGCTTCCTGTGTTGGTGGAAATCTATTCCTGGGTTATGTCCTCTGGGGTAAGGGAGGTGCATCCCTCAGGTGAGGTCTGCACAGGCTGAGGACCGGCTCCAGGATTGCATACTTTATTATGTCTCAGGTGGTGGATCAGGGGTGGGGCCAACATCTGCTAACCTCAGTAAGACAGCCCTGGACCAAGCAGGCCCAGGGCCACAGAGTGGTTTGGCATGGGTGTGGCTTTAGACCAGCAGGCTCTCTTCATGCTCACTTGGTTGGGACTTGACAAAGTTTTGAGATATGGCAATTCTTAAACTGGCCTTTAATGTTGTTCACCAGAGCCTTGGGTGGGTCCTCACATTTGGTTCCACTCTACAGAAGGCACCAAGACTCTCTTTTAGGTAAGGTCAGGCTTATCAGTGGCACCTGTTTGCCGATGCTCCCCTTCTGGTCAGAGTACTCTGGGAGCAGGGCGGGGCCTGTAGTTGGCAGCCACATTTCCCCAAGTTTGCAGGGAACCAGAGCTTCCTGGGGAACATCCACAGGCAATGAAAGTCCCGACCTTTGCCAGTTATCAAACGAGCCCAAACATTTGGGTACATGCGCTCTCACTTGCTTGTGATCCTAAGTTGGTTTTCTATCAAAGCCCTACTCTCTTAATGAAATGTTAGTTGTGGATCTGATTCTGACATCTAGAACTGGGCTCCTGATTGAACAATGATGTCAGCAACAGAAGCTGTGGGCCCGGCACAGCCCCAGGGGTAAGGAGTGCAGAGGACACAGGCAATGCATACATGGTTCCTGAAGGAGGTGTGCTGGACCGGGTCCTCAGCAGCCAGGGAAATGCTGCTGAGCAGAATGAAGAAGAGGATCAGGTTGGTGAAGATCGTGTCATTGACAATGCGGTGGCACTGGAGGCGAAACCTGTATGGGAGGGGGGACAGGAGGAGAGACAAGTCAAGGCAGACAAGGGGAGCAGCAGTCAGCTCTTGGAAGCCCCTTTCCTCAGCTCTTTCCAGCAGCTGGCAACAGGCGCTTGTTGGCTTAAAGTGACCTCTTCATTCTGAAGTCTTACTGCTGCTTATGCCAGCAGCAATGACAACCCCTCACCCCCATGGCGCACATATCACCTTTGACATTTTGGAAGGTTACATCGGAGACCTTGGGGACTCTCTGAATTTCCAAATCATGCTCTGAGATTAACAACTGGCTTTTGTTTGGGGACTTATTTTCGCTATCATTGAAAACAAGTCACTTTATGTGATCCACTCTGTGCTTCGCATAGGGAACTACAGGACTACCTGGAGCTGGGTATGCTAAGAGGCCAGCCAAGCCGACTCTCTGTGGGTATCTGTTCCTGTGTGTAATTCACTTCCGTGCCCCGGCACGATTATTCAACTGAACTTCTAGGCACCCAGTGACAGTACCAAAAATTCTAGATTCCTAAAAGCCAAAGTGTCTTGTAACCATCTCATCTTGACAACAGTGTAGGGAGGAAGGTATGAGTGTCATGATCTTCATTTCATAGATAAGAACACCGAAACCCAAGTAGGAGAGGCTTGCCCAGAAACACAGCCTTAGTGTGGGGGAGTCAGGGCTTCAACACAGGTCTTCAGACTTCTGCTGCCGGCATTATGGTTGACTAAATGCTCTAAGAAGCCCTCCTGCTGCAGAAGCACTAAACCCTCGAAGGGTCAAACTCTCTGAGACAATTCTGGCTTATGAGAGTTTGGAGATGTCTGCAAGAATCATCTAGTTCAAACCAACAACCCCCCCCCACCACCACCACAAACCCCCAGGGAGCTGAGGCTATGTATGGAGAGCCAGGAAGGCAGAGCTGCCAGAGGATGGAAGCCAATAACAGTGGTGTCAAGAAACTGCAGGTTAAGCCAATCTTGAGGCGGGGCAAGGAAGCCTGGGACTCTTAGGCTGAGCCAACACCTCTTAGGGGCATCTGAAAGTCTCCCCAGTCCTACTTTAGGTCCTCAGGACTCTCACAAATTAAGAGGAAGTGTTGGGGTCACAATCAAAGATCCATCAGACACCAGACACACGAAAGGACAAACCACTAAGATGAGAAATCAGAAGAAACACCAGATAAGTGATTTAGACCCCAAAGCCTGGGGGTATTGGAAATATTACCTATAGACTATCAAACAACCATATTTGAAATATTTAATGAAATAAAAGACTAAATCACAAAGATGAAAAATCGATAGAAACCATTAGATTTAGAGTGATGGATTGGGAAAATGAAGCAACAATTGGAACTGACCAAAATAAAAACATCCAATGGTCAAGATAAAAAAGTTGGTTTAGACAGTAATATAGATTACGTCGAAAATAGATTTAAGAAACTGGAAGATATAGCTGAAGAAATTTCCTAGGATACAGAAAGACAAGGAGATGAAAGATATGTAAGACCCTCTAAGAAATAGGGAGGACAGAATGAAAAGGTCTAACGGATGTCCAATTGGAGTGTCAGAAGGAAAAAATACAGAATTAAAGAGAAGCAATATTTAAAAATTATTGCTGCATATTTTCAACAACTGAATAAAAATCTAAATCCATAGGCTTAGGAAGCACAATCTATTTTAAGCAAGACAAACGGAAAAAAATCCACATCTTGACAAATGGTAGTAAATCTGTACAACCGCAAAGGCAACAGAATATGTTAAAAGCAGCTACAAATAGAGGTTAGGTTACTCACAAAGGAATCACAGTTGGAATGACAGCTGACTTTGCAGTAGAATAACACCTTTCTTGTGCTGCAAGACAAACCTGTCTGTCTAAAATGAGGTACGCAGTCAAACTATCTTTCACGAGCAAGAAGTGACAACAGCTATAGATAAGGAGAGGCCAAGTGAATTTGCCATTGTGGAGTTCTAGGAGCTTCTAAAGAATGTACTTTAGGAAGAAAGAAAATGTTTCCAAAAAGATGGACTGAAATGAGTAAAAAAATGGTGAACAAATAAAATGGTAAGGTGTACATAAATCCAAACACACAATCCATATAATAATAAGACTCACTAACTTGTTGGGTTAAGAATAAAAGTTGGACTAAAATACTAATGACAATTCCAGGTAAGTAAGGAGATGAGTGAGTTAAAATATTCTAAGGTCAATCTAATGGATAGGAGGAGGTTCTTGATACTGTTTAACATCACATAATCACTCAAGGAATAGAAGTAGAGTTTAAACATTTCAAAAAGTGGAGAGAAAAATGAACACAGGTCTTCTGATTCAAAATCCAGGACTCTTCCCTAAATCGGTGTCTATTTATATAATTTGCAGGGAGCTGGGAGAGTCTCAGGCTCCATTCAGCGGTTCAGGTAAAATACAGGAAACTGTCGGGCTGGTACTAGAGAGAGCAGGACCCCACCTTCCCCACCATTGCCGCACACCTGTTGTTAGAGCTGAAGATGAAAAATGCGCTGGCTTCTGGCATGGGCACCGCCTTTTCCTTAAGGTGAAGCTCAGAGAGTGGTCGTGGGCGAGGGCCGACAGGCATCTCTGGCTCTTCCTCATCATCTTCTCCTGTAAGAAGAACAGCACCATTCTAAATAACTCCAGCACTCCCACTTATTTTACCACTTTCAGAGACCTTCCTACTGGCAGACATCATTGTGGCTCTGAAAATGTAGGGTACCAACCAAGGCAGATATTCTGCTGTCTCCCTGTGGGTGCTGCTGCAACTCATCTCTGTTGGAAAGGACTTATCTGGCAGTACACAACAAGGGGGATTGTAAGTAGGGTCACCAACTTGTCCTGGTTTTAAAACCAAAATCCCCACATCCCAGGAAACCCCCTAGTCTTGGGCAAACTGGGGTGGTTGTCACCCTAGTTGTAAGGTATGAGAAAAGGTGACCAGGTAGGATAGGGTACTGCCAGCGATTACTCATCTATCTAGGCGGCAGGTGGGGGAAAAGGTGTGGCTTAGTTGGCTTGTGGAATCCCTTGCAAATAACCCCACCCTTGGAAGTTCCAGGAATTGAAAAACCAACACTTTCCCAATTTCTGAAACTAAAAAAAAAAAAAAAAAAAAAAAAAAAAAAAAAAAAAAAAAAAAAAAAAAAAAAAAAAAAAAAAAAAAAAGTGCTGTTGAGATAACAGGACAATACTACTGACCACAACAGGCCCTTCGTGCAAAGGTTTAGACACTGACACCAATTAAAGACGTGCCGTTGTGCTCCCGGCCAGTGGCCACATTTAATGTGGACCGCCCAAAGTCAAACAGCTTATTCCTGCGCTTGCAAGCACAATGCCCATGGGAGCAAGCACTGAACACCCTGTGCTAGGTAAATGTGTTTAAGATGCTCAGAAGGGAGAGTAACAACATGGGAGTGAAGAGCAGTCTGTCCAGCCTGTCTCCTGGATCACAATCCTGGCTGTTTCTTTCTAGCTGTGTGCATTTTATTGAGTCTCTCTGTGCCCCAGTATCTCCACGTAAGGTGGAATAATAATGGTACATCTATACTTCAGAACAGTGCCTGGCACTTAGCAGCTGCTATGTTAAGTAAGTGTTTGTTGCTTTTATTACAACCTCTACGCAGGGGAGAGACTTGAAGCCTGTAAATTAGTGCTCAACGTTTTTCTCAGTCAGATCCTTACCACCTATTATTCCCTAACAAACTGTCCGCTCCCATCAACCTGTATTGTGAACACTTCACTACAGCAGGTTGAACGGTTTCCCGCACAAACTCATGTCTACCTAGAACTTCGCAATGTGACCTTATTTGGGAATGGGGCCTTTGCAGATGGAATTGGTGATGATGAAGTTTAATCTAGGCTAGGATGGGCCCTAAATCTAATGACTAGCCATGTGTGGTGATGCGTGCCTATAATCCCAGCTACTCGGGAGGCTGAGGAAGGAGAATCACTTGAGCCCAGGTTGCAGTGAGCCAAGATCTCACCACTGCACTCCAGCCTGGATGACGGGGAGACTCTGTCTCAAAAAAATAAATAAATAAAATAAAAAGAAATGACTGTTATCCTTATAAGGAGAGACACAGAAACACAAAAACACACTTAGGGAAGAGGGCCATGTGAAGACAGAGGCAGAGATCGGAGGGATGTATCTACAAGCCAAGAACTGCCGGCAACCACAGAAGTTAGGAGAGGCAAGTGAGCATTCTTCCCAGGAGCCTTTCAGAAGGCGCTTAGCCCTGTGGACCCCTTGATTTAGGACTTCCAGTCTCTAGAGCTGTGAAAGGATGTATTTCTGCTGTTTAAGCTACCCAGCATGTGGTCACTGGTTATGGCAGCCCTCGCGAGCTGACACGCTCACTGTGTGCCCTGCCCTTCCTCATGCTCTCTCCCTGTTTGAGCTGCTCTTCATCTCCCTCTCTGCAGAGCACACGAAGACCCCCAGTGCCAGAGAGCATCCTTCACCCAGCTTTCCTGAGTACTTGCGCTCCAGGGAATGAACTTCCTGTGAATACCAGCAGTACCTTCTGCCTCCAGTGCCTTCATGACTGATTTTAAATGTCTGTCCTTTCTCTCTATGTACTGAAAACCCTGGAAGGAAAAGCCATGCCTGGCACTGGATGCCTTTATTTCTTGAGGATGACTGAACTTCCACACCCTTTAGAAGGAAGGGGACTTTGCGTAAGACCAAGGTGAAGGGAATACTAGTCTGGCTGGAAAAAGACAGTTATGGGATGCTCATCTCACGGATGCAGTCATGCCTCTCCATGTTCTCCCTCTTCTGGTTCAAATGAAGCCAGGTACTGCAAAGAAAAAAATGCCTGGCACAGAAAGCAATTCTTTATCAGACAAAACACATTCAAGCATTTAGGGACCCAAGGCTTTTTTGGAGGACCAGCAGCACACAGGCATCAATCAGATCCTTTCTCTGGGGTAATTAGAGCTGACCAGCATGACAATTAATATTTTTTTTCAGCAGAAGAGAGGCCCAAGATGAAAGCTGACTACAGGCCAAGAGTTGGAGCTCTTGTGACACCCAACCCTTGGTATGTAAAAGGAAAGCCTTCTACTTGAAGTAGAGTGAGTAAAACCGGAATTGGCCTAAATCATGATATTTACAAGTGAGATTTAATTGAGAAGGATCTTAAATTCCTGCCTAGGTGTTTGTATGCTTTTCAGTTTTGCTCAAAATGACCCAACACTTTCTTCTTCATGGTAATTTGGTAATAGGTAATTTTATGCTTATTTGAATCTTTTGTGTTGATAGAAACCCATATTTACTATAGCTTTGTGCCATTCGAAGTTCCTAATAGAAAATGGTGCAGGCTCTTCCATCTGCATGAGCTCCCTTCCTGTTTATGAAGCTCTGTGCTGGGCTCCATTCCTGGGGAGAAGCAAGTTAGCTGGTCCACTCAGACGCACAGCAGCGGAACTGCAGGCACAGTGCTTGAGAGGAAACGGTTTCTGAAGGACAAACTCAGATGTGAAAAGGGACACAACTTTGACACCATGTGATGCTTAGCAGGTATTATGGAAAAGGTAGGAGGTTGACAGATCAGGAAAAGTCAGGCAAGGCTCCTTTTGGGGTTGGCAAATGAACCACCTAGACTCTACTCCCAAATGCCAGTAGACTACATCAGGGGTCTTTCTTTCTTCAGTTTTGTTCTTGGAGGTTTGGAAAAAGCAAGGGAAGTGAGGCTCTGCTGCACTCTGGAGTTGCTGCTGCATTAGAGAAGGCAGGTCAGAGGATTCAAAAGTAAAACCAGGGTAGCACTCAAAGCCCCAGCCTTGGTCCTCGGGAAGCCTTGCTCCTCTCCATTTGATGCTCATCCTCGCCTCTGTGATTTTGCTCTTAGCCAAATAAAGTAAAGACATTTGTAAGATCTAGTGCTTACAGAGTGTTGAGTCCAAGGCTGAGAACACAAAGCCGTGGCTCTTGTCCTCAAGGAGCTTAGTTTCTAGCAGAGCACAAGAGGCTGCTACCAGCTGAAGGGAGTGCACAGTTGGTAAGGGCCAGATACCCAGAGCAGGGCCTTGAGGCACCAGGAATACAGGTGGTGGATATAGTTTCTGCATTGGGGATCTTCTCTTTACTGGCTCAATTAGAAAACCTCAGAGTCACCCTACATTCCTCTTTTTCTCTCCAACATCTAAGCGATGAATAAGTCCTGTTGGTTTGCAAAAGGTACCCCAAGCCTGACCCCTTTCTGCATCTCCAGCACTGTTCCCTACCCAAACTGCCATACTCTCTGCCTGGATACTGGACAAGTATCCTCCCTGCCCCAGTTCTGCTCTCGACCACCACCACCCTTTATCCACAGAGCGCCCAGAGGGAATCTCTGAAAGGGTGAGTCGGACATAGGGTCAGGGCCTCCTCTGCTCAGACGTTCTGGCAGCCCTCCAGGGCACTGGATCGGACCCAGTCTCCCATGTGGCCCCGTGCCTCCTGCCCTGCCCTCCTGTCCTGCCCCGGCCTCCTGCCTCAGGGCACTATCCCTTGGTTCTCTCTGCTTCAGGCACACTGGCCCTCTTTGGAGTCCCCACAGCCAAGTGCATCCCCCTGTAAGAGGCTCTGCATTCAGGCCCTCCACCTAGAGAGCTCTTCGCTCTGATTCCACGTCTAGTTCCTTTAAATCATTCAGGCTCCAGTCAAATGCTGTGTCCTCAGAGAAGCCTTTGCTGACCACACAGTCGAAGCAGCCTGGTCCCCAAGTCACCCCTAACACAATCCTTGATTTTACTATCTTCACATCATGTGATGTCACCTTTTTGGTTGGTTTGCCTGCTGCCTGTCTCCCCACTGATATGTCAGCTCCAGGGGGGCGGGGGTCTTCCCTGTCCATCCAGCACAAGAACCCCCATGTCCCTGTACTTAGCACAGTGCCTGGCATACAGTAAGTGCTTCATGAGTAGTTCATTAACATCTCCAAGGTTTCTTCCAAATCTCAGCATCTCTGACGATTGTATAATCCTGCAAAAACTCCTTCAGCCTCTCCAACTCCCCGATTCAAAGCTCAGTCAAGACCACCCTTCTGTATGAAGCCCCCAGATTCCACCAGCTCACGGCTCTCCTTGTCCCTGAACCCTTGCAACAGTGAAAGCCTCCCCCAGCACAGGTGGTGCTGACTGCTCAGTGTCTGGTGGCACGCATTTCTTTTTAACATCTACCTGTTCACTTTAATTCCTTAATAAATTAAACAAAAGTAGAATTAGCTTCCACTCATCTGGGCACAATGCTTTTCTTTCCAGTGAGTTGGGATTTTTCTCTATAATTAGGGTACGCCAATCTTGGAGGCTGAAACCAGCTGGCGAGCTTTTCAGATGAAACAGAGAGGGAAGGATTCTAGGGCCATGGCTGGCCTCAACGGCCCCCTGTTGAATTAGAAACAGGCCCCTCCTCTGAGAGTTCATGGTCATGTGAGGGCAACTGAAGCAGCAGCCAGCAGAGCGCACTCTGAAGTCCAGATCCCACTTGGCCAGATCCCATGGCTCTGGGTGCAACCTGGACAGCCTAAGAGGGAGGGGGAAGACAGGACAGCCTAGGACAGAGGGCAAGAGAGAGATGGGGAGGTGGCAGGAGAGCATGGCAGTGTGCTCCCGTGCACTGGCCCTTTCTTCTAGCAGTGCGACTGAAGGCAGAGCAGGAGGTGCCTAAGGGGCACCTGCATGAACCGGGCACAGTAGGGGGCAGAGGCCTGGAAGGGGCAGAGGTCAAGAGCACAGTGATAGATCAGGCTGTTTGCCATTCATGGTTCAGAAGAAAGAGAAGCAGGAAGGAAGCAGAGTTTGACCGGAACGGAGACAACAGGTCACGTGCTCCTCAGAGGAGTCTCTGGGAACTTCTGCTGCCCCTGGCACTAAAGGATCCAAGAGCTGGTTTTGGAGGCAGGGAAGGGAGGAAATGGGAAGGCAGGAAGAGCTGGGAAACACAGGCTGACTTAGCCTTTGGGGGTAGGACAATGTGTGGAGCCAATGGCTTTAAAAGCATGCTGCCCTTTAGATCTCCTGGATGAGGACCGGGAGAAAAATGGGCATGCTTGGGGCTGGCTTCAAAGGCCAGAGTGATGGCTGGTGTATGTGGTGGGGCAGTTAGGGAAGCCTTAGGTCTCAACACAAAAGTAGAGATGCATGCAACCAACAGAAATGATGGGGAGTGGGCCATCTGCTCACAAAACTCAAGAATCTTGAGGCCTCATCAGAGGCTGGGAGGAGCTTTTCAGCTGGGAAGCATAAGCATCCCCCCAGTCCTCAGAGCCGCCCGTAGCTACAGCTAGGATGGCCAAGGTGGTGTCAATAGCCTCATTAGCCCCCCTTTTTTTTTCTCAACATTCTTCTTTTTCATTTCATTAGAGCAACAAAGAAGAGAAAAGCCATGAGTACAGTATTTAGAAAAATAGAATTTCAGATTCTTGTTGAAGATGCAAGAGGTGTATCTGCTCTACAGGCCTGACTGCAGCGGGGTGCCTGTGTGAAAAGACCCTCATATCAGATCTGCCCTGCTGTGTGTGCAGGGAGGCCCATCCTGGAGGCTGGCCTCGTGAGAGGCTCTTCTCAGGGCCCTAAGGAATTTGTTTTATTATTGCCTTTTGTTTTAAACCTTAAAGATTTAGGCATGAGTAGAGTCTCACATAGTAAAGCTCATATATATATTCCCAGCTTCAACAACTTTGGACATTTTGCTGATCTTGTTCCATTTATCTTCTCCGTCCCATTTTTTTTGTTTTTGGAGTATTTAAAAAGCAAAGCAACTCGTAAACATTTTAGATTCTGGCCATAAATACTTCAGCAGTTTAAAAACAGAACTACAAAATATTATACCAACAAGATTAACAAAACTACTTTAAATCATTTAGTTTGTTCAATTTCCCCCACTTACCTCTAAAATGTCATTTTAAAGTGTATTTGTTGCTTCAGGAGCAAGACAAGATCCTCCCATTGCATTTGTTCAATGATTCTAGTACGTTGTTGAAATTCCCTAAAAGTTTCGCCCTAGAAGGGTTTTTAAGAACTTCAAAGACTTAATGCATGCACATGGAAACTCCCTGTTCTTTCTACCCAAGCTCCAGGAAACCACATCCTATTCCCTTGCAGAAGGAGGGGAATGAGGATGGTGTGACCACAGGGAGTCTGGCTCCCAAGGACAACAGAAGATGTCTGTAAGTGTTCTTAGCAGAGAAGCAGTGGAGGGAGAGCAAAAGGGAAACCTAGCTTTGCTCACAAATGTAGAAGGTTCTCAGCTACCTAACTTGGTGAACAGCACAAATATAGCCTATTCTGCAGGAACGAGGAAATGTCAGTAAAGTCAACAATCCCTTGATGGCATGTTGACTTCAAGCTGGTAACTGGTGATCATATCTGCAATTTTAGGTCAGAGGAAGACAAGCCCCGGGCTTGGACAGGGTATGGGATTTCAGGGAGCTGGGAAGTGAAGCCTGGAAGGAGGACCTCTGACCTCCGACATTAAAGCCCCTGAGAAGCCAACTGCCTGCCAATTTATCTATCAGATAGAAGCACAAGAAGATGGAGTCAGTAAGATCTCCTTCTACAGAGACCTGAAATCATTTTCTAAAGCAACAAGTTGGACATCTGTGGTGGCAGCTGTCCCTGCACTCGGCACTGCCTCCTGAGTAAGGGCAAGACAGATTTGGGATTTACTGTTAATATTAAGTGAGCATAATGTTGCAACATATGCCATACTAATACATTCTATAAATTAATATCGATTTTACAATCTGTAATGTAACAAAAATTTAAATGTATACAGAATCCTGCTTGGAAAGGACACAAAAGGACTGCTCAAATGTGATCTCATTATGAGGAAACCAGAAACAAAGCTGTCTCCCAGATGCTGACTGACGGTGCTTAAATATGGAGATAGAAGACACTTAGCAGTGTAAGACGCTTGTAGAGAGACACTGGAACCATAGTGCCTAATACATGGCCACTTCCATGTGGCTTTAGAATTGAGATCTCTGTCCCCAACCTCCCAATCCCAGGTTAGGCAGTGGGACTGGTACCTGTAGTTTCTGGGTTGGGGTAGGGGCTCTTATCCTCATTTTCATTGGGCTGGAGGTCATCCATGTTGATCTAGGCAGTCACAGGGGAGAAGGAGGAAGAATTCAGTTAGATATTTTCCACAAGTTAAGAGGCTTGCAGTAGCCTTGAAGTTTCATTTTAGTCAGTGACTTAGCTCAAAAAATATGTTCTTGTCACTTTGCACATCCCCTTCAGGACATCAGGGGACGGCTGGGATCCAGCCAATCCGCCTTCTCTTCCCCGTTCCAGCTCTCCTGTCCATCCCCACTGGCTTCCTTTCCACTGGGTGTCTTTCTTTCTCTCCTCTTCTCCATGGGGGTCTGGCCTGGGAAGGCTGTGGCCCTCCCTCCCCAGCACCGGCCTCACAGCTCCAGGAAAGAGACAGCTCCTCACCTTGGTGGTGGGTGGAGACTCCCCATCAGCTGTGATGGATTTCAGCTCAATCTTCTCCTCCTTGGATTCCTCCACTGCTGGCTTCTCCACCACCTCTTGTTTCTTCTCTGGGCTGGCAGTCCTGGCCAGTCAGCAGCAGAAAAAAATAAATGGTTGTTTACTGGAGTGATAGGGAACAGTGTGGGAGGGAAGCACCCTGTGGCCTGTGGGGACCAGCGGGGGCAGATCCCCTGGGTCTGTGTCCATCTTCCTTTCTCCAGGGCACCTCTCGTGTGCAGCTCAGTCACAAGCGCTACAGGGCTGAGCCACACCTGCTCTGCCTGGCACACAGTTGGCCTCTTGCAGCTCCAGAGATGCCTGGGTCACAAAAGCAGAGAAGGATGGTGGATCTCATCTAGGATTGGCTCCTGGAGGAGCTCTGCTCAGGGCCTGGCAGCTGTGTGGCTTACAACTGTCCCATCTAGACAATGATAGGATACAACACAGGGCCCCGTGTTGCCTTCCTAACACTGGTGCTGAATTATACACAGTGAGGAGGACTTCCTCTGTAAGCTGGGGCTGCATTTCGCCATTGAACTGAGTGGTTGCCTTTCTCTCTCCCCACTTTACACTCCTGCCACCTATCACAGCTTCTCAAAAGATAATCCCAACCTCCTAGACAGGTGGAGAATATAACACCATTGCAGAGACTATTATAATTCACAATGGTCCCTACCAGAGTAATGCTTAGGATTAGGAGAGAGGTCCAACTTAGGAAGCCCCAAACCCAGAGTCCTCCTAGGAGGGACAGCCAACAGAGGCTAGCAGTCAAGCCTCTCTCTGCCACCAGTGGGATGACATTCCAGAATGGGGGCCCTGGAGCCCGGGGCCTGGGCAAGTTTAGAGGGTTACCTGGCCAGCTTCTTTCTCTCCTTCTCCTCTTCCTCCTCCTTTTGGGCAGATGTGAGGCTCTCAGCATCAGCCAGGTTGTCCACAGCAATGGCCAAGAACACATTCAGTAGGATATCTGTTTGTGTCCATTCTTAAAGAAAATGACCCTTGGCTTGGGGTTTTGGTGGACACAGGGGGTGGGGGGATACAGGATGGGCAGGGTAGAGCTCCTCGGCAGAGAGAGCTTGAGGGTGAATCACTTCGAGGGAGTCAGACCCCAGCAGTGTTCCTCCCCTCCCCTTCCTCCCCATCACCCTCCCAGCTACCTGGAGCAATCTAGAGAGTTGAGAACAGGCTAGCCTGCACACTGGAGCAGGCGGGAGTGAGGCAGCCAGCCCTGCCTTGCACTTTAATTGCTGGGTTTCATGATTGGTTTCCCCGCTGAGATGACTGGCTGTAATTGACATTATAAACAGTATTGTCTCTAGCAGGATGCAGAATGCTCTTAAGAGCGGTTTATTATAACTGGGCACTGAGGGGGTGGATTGGTATCTCTGCCAACTCTAATGTGAGCCTGCACACACGAAGACCCTTGGTGGGTCCGGCTGGAGCTAGCCAAGGCTTGGGAGTTCCCAAGGGAGGCAGTTCTTTGCTCTTTCTCCCCACCCTACTGCACCAACAGAAACACTGAGGGTCAGAGAACTGCAGAATCAAAGAAAGCATAGCTGGATGGAGCTTTAAGTTTGCGAAGTCTGACTCCCAGCCTCAGGCACCCAGACATTCATATCATTTCACACACAGAGAAGCCACAACCCAGGCAGGGGAAGAGGGGCTTGCCCCAGGAGGCTTCTGGACGTGGCAGGGGCTTTGCATGCATGATCCCATTAAAACTCCCAAAGACCCTTTACGTAGTAGGGACTATGATTCCATTGCCGCGTTTTACAGGCACTAAGGTAGAGGACCTTCAATCTGCAAGAGGTCTCTCAGCTGGGAAAAGAGGAAACCTTGTCTGCAGGCTTCCATGACTGCCTTTGCTGCACTGCCTTAGCTGCGACTTGGCCCAGAGCTGTTCCTGTGTTACCCCAGGCTCCGGACGTGACTCTCTCGGGGTCATGAGCTGGGGAAGAGAAGCAGCACCCACGGTTTGTGACCCTGGAAACCTGCCCCAGCCAGGAAAAGGAAGGAGCTTTTGGGGCTGTTTGAAGTCTGCGCAGCTCTGCCTGTGACTAAAGTCCTGGAGAGCGGCATCAGAGGGAGGGGTGCTGACCAAAAAGCACGAGGGGAGCTGAAGGTCACTTCAAGGACACCGGCGCATCCTCCCTCACCGAGCGCCCCGCCTCTGAGCAGACGCAGTGGCCCCAGGGCAGCCGGCCCGCTCCGGCGCGTCCCTATTGCAGTCCGTGTGAGTGGCTGCGCACGCCGCAACGCCAGGGGGCGCCGCTCGCCTAGATTACCACGGGAGCACGCCTGGAGCGCGGCGCCGCTGCGGCCCCGAAGGGCTCGGGAGGGTGAACCTCCCCGAGGCCGCAGCTGCAGGTTTCCACCCAGACCCACCTCCGCCGCCATGGGGTTCTAGGCTGGGTGGTGAGAGCCCAGACCTGGGGGCGTGCCCGTTTGGCATTGCGCCGCAGGCTGGGGGCTGGGGGCCGCGGGGGTGGGGGGCAGCAGCAAAGGATACAGTTTCCACAGATGAAGAGGATGATGAAGTAAATACAGACTAACATCCCTGGAAAAGAGGGGCCGCCATAAGCCATGATCCCATCATACATCACCGAATTCCAGTCCTCCCCGGTCAGGATCTGAATGACACATTCCCACCAATAAGGGACACAGCGTTAGACCAACAGCAAACCCAAAACCACCCTGCCCTGCCCCACTACTCAACAAAATCGTCCAAAATTTCCCTTTCACTTCTTTCCCTCCTCCTGGCTCCCAATTCTCCTCCCCAGGGACTCTGAGCTATTGAACTCTCCTTAGACAAAATGCCTGGCCATTGGCATAATATTATTTGAAGAGTGACTGCAAGTTTTGGCACAAAGATCTCTGACTTTCCCCACTCATGCTTGAGCTGACCGTCAGCCATTCCTGGGGGTAAGGCATCAGGGCCCTTTTGCAGTTGCGTGTTTGCTGAGACTGTCACATGCTTTCCCCAAACATTCATCATTGGGGCATCATCTTTAAGACTGTGACAACATCTACATGTGATTTATTTTTACCTCTAAATCAATCTACTTTTAAACTTAAATAAGTGCCACTTTAATTTTGCCGTAGGCCGCAATATCTATGAAATCACAAATTTGGTGGTCCAGTAACATTTTTTCCTAGGGTCAAGCATCGTGGGTAGGAAAGCCAGGGCTTCGTCACCCTCCCCTCCCCCAATAAGAGCAGTCTGTTTTTCTTTGTTTATATTTTGGGCTTTCATGGAGAATTTGAGTAAAGGAGTCCATGGATAAGAAGATGTTTTTAAACCACATCGTTTCCCCTAATGGTCCACCCACCAGTGGAATTCCATGGCAGATGGGGACAGGGGAAACTACAGAAAAATCTCAAGACTCTCCTGGGCATGGGACCTCCAGGGCTGATCTAGGCTGGCTGTGGCTGCCCAGTGAAAAGATGCAGCTTTCCACACGCCCCCCACCACCCCGCCACTCAACCACCCCGAGTCCGAATCCCAGCAGAGAAGAGTCCCTACCTGAAACACAGTGAGGAGGGACTGGGGGAAGTTATCAAATGTGCTCCTCCGGGTCTGCATCTCATCAAAGTTGAACTTTCCTCCAAAGAGCTGCATCCCCAGGAGGGAGAAGATGATGATGAAGAGGAAGAGGAGAAGGAGCAGGGAGGCGATGGAGCGCACAGAGTTCAGCAAGGATGCCACGAGGTTGCTCAAGGAGTTCCAGTACCTAAGAGCCAACAGGAGGGAGGTCAGCACCCTGCCCCTCGCTGTCCTCCCCATCGCTCCTCATTCTCACACCTGCCCACTGCAGGTTCTCAGAGGAGCTGCCATTTCTGCTTTTTCCCGGTCCTTGGGGGAGGGGTGTCGGCGGTGCTGTGAGGTGGGCCACCCTGGAGGGAGTTAATTCAAGGTTCCCGGATGACTAACCTGTTGGGGAACAGATGAGGGCAGTGGTCAGAAGCCGGCAACCTAGCTCTGCCCGACACCTGCTGCGTGTTCCTCTGGACAAGACATTTCACTACCCTGCCTTCTGCATCCCCATCTGACAAACGGAGACTGCTGTGGCCCTTGCTTCATTAGGCTATTGGCAGGATTGCCTGACATGTTCTTCCTTTCTCCAAAGAGCCCCCCATAGAGTGCTTGGCACATAGTTGATTAAGGTTGGGAATTATTGTGGTTGCTGTTGTTCGCTAAACAGAAAAAAACTTTTTTTTCCTCCACGAATGCCAGTCTGAGCTCAGCCGAAGAAGCAGCTATCTAGCAGTGGCAGGAATGAAGTCACCCATGGGTAACAGAAAGTTCATGGCTTGGTGAAGTTTCCCAAGTTCATCCCGTCCTTAGATTTTGTTTTTTTAAGGGCCCTTCCTCTGGAGCTTCTGATTCACTAGCTGTAGTTTGGAGTCCCGATATCTGTGTTTTTAACAAGCATACTACGGGATTCTGATCAGCAGGTGAGTTTGGGAAACTCTAGATTATAGCAAACCTGTCACACCCACTGGGGCAGCTCAAAGCGCAAGTCCTCTGAGTGGGCGGGAGCTCAGTCTTGAGTGGAATGGGCTTTCAGTGGGATCCCTGCGGAGGAGGCCCTCACTCCTTACAGCCCTGAGGGCTCTCTCCACTACAAACACAGAAGTCTTACAGAGGTTCTGGGAAAACTCCTTTCTCATGAAAAAGTGGGAGGGGGAACCTACTAATGACTGCTGGATGCAGGGTGGGTGCCTACGTGAGGGTCAGCTCAGGATCAGGAAGTGCACCATGGCAAAGGACACGGCCCTGAGGGGAGCAAAGGCAAGAACAGAGCAATCTCATTTCCCTATGGCCCCCTCTGGCCCGCCTGCCTCCTAGTTCACTACCTTGAGAGATTCCCAGCTCACCACGAGTCCAGTGGATTGCTTTTGCTGCTTCAGTGAGTGACATGCAAGCCACTCCCACTACAGCCACAGCCTGGGTTCATGTCTTCAGAGAATGGTTCCGTACCAAGGGACAGAAGCAGAGGGGTCACAGTTTGGATGGCAACATGAACTCCTTACCAAGCTGCAGCCTCGAGTGCTCCTTTGGCCTCCACAAATCCAGCTTTTCCTCACTTCTATTTTGCCTGCCAGCTATACCCGCTCTGTTTGCAGAATATTAATATACATTTATTTGTATCTGCTCTATACCATACAGTCTTGTCTCACCAAAATAGGCTCTAAATTTTAGAAGGCAGAAGGTTGCAGGGTTTTTTCCCCCTCCATCTTCCCCATCTCTGTTCTTAAATAAATTCTGTACAACCCAGTATGTGTGATGGACTGCCTGGAACCCCTGCAGGCTAGAGGCTATAGTGATCTGTTTAAAGAAGAAAGTAAGAGAACCTCTCTGGGGGTAGAACACTCTCCCCTCTTACAGCTGAAACAGTTTTCCCAAGCCTGCCCGAGGATCGACACCAGTGGAGGTGGCCGGGCACAGTGGTAGCTCCTGCCTGTAATCCCCTTTGGGAGGATTGGCACTTTAGGAGGTCAAGGCAAGAGGACTGCTTGAGGCCAGGAGTTCAAGACCAACTTGGGCAGCACTGTGAGACCTCATCTCTAAAAAATCAAAGAATTAGCCAGGTGTGGTGGCACATGCCTGTAGTCCTACCTACTGGGGAGACTGAGATGGGAGGATCACTTGAGCCCAGGAGTTCGAAGCCGCAGTGAGCTATGACTGCACCACTGCACTTCATCCTGGGTGACAGAGTGAGACCCTGTCCTAAAAAATAAATATATAAAAATAATAATAATAAAACAACAGCAGCAGCAACAAAAATGATAGTAGGGGTGTGTTAGCATTTCCTAACTCCTGATTTTCAGGTCTCTCCCTGGCACCACGAAAACCTAATCTCTGACTCTGGGGCTGGGGTAATCCTCACGTGGCCAGTCCAATACTTGCCAATACACTAGGGTTGGGAACCAGCAACTTTAGAGCATATTTATAATGAGAATTTCCAGCTGTATCTGAGGGAAGAGTGTCTGCATGTGCCCTGAAGTCACAAATCCCCTAGAGATCCTCTGTGCACTCAGCCACCATGGAAGATTCTGGAAAAGCCTTAATGGCCATGGAAGGTCGGAGCCTTCATTTTCATGAAATAAAGAGGCACGCGGGAAATAACTCAGGTATGTCCAACAGTCATGGGGACCAACTGCAGCCTGACAAGCATGTTCTGGCTGCAGAGGGAGAGGGCCAGGTGCCATCCGCAAGAAAGTCTGGGGGAGGCACCACATGAGGGGTAGAGAGGGAGAGAGAGGTGGGGAGGGCCCTCCTGACCCGGGAGCCCATTGGCATGCCTGGGGCTCTAGGGAGGAGGAGGCTGTGGGCCAGGAACAGATCGAGTCTCTAGGAGGGGTGAATGCTCCTGGGAAGGGGGAGATGCAGCATGAAAACTGGCAGGGACCTCTCAGAGTGAGGGTGGCGTGGTCCTGCCAGCACAGTCAAAGGCAAGGATGTGGGTGTGGGCACAGAGCTGTGCCTGGAGGAGCGCCCTCTGCCCACTCTCCCTGCTCATCCTGCCTCCCTCAACCCCTGGGGTGTCTGGGAAAGTCTGAGCTGCATCATACCGGGGTTCGTGCTCTGACAGAGCTCCTGATTCCCACCCATCACCTTCCCCCATCTCAAGTAAATGAGAACCATTGCTTTTGGCTCAAGGCAAAGTCCTCGGAGTCATCTTCCTGGCTCTCTCACACTCCGCAGGAGCAAATCCTTCTGCGCCATCTTCACAACGAGTGAGCCCTGACGTCGTTGGCCACTTCCCACCACCTCCTCATCCACACTGCCTGGACCCTCGCTCCGGGCAGCGGCTCTCCAGGCACAGCAGCAGTGGGTGTTGCTATGGGGTGAGGTCCACGATGCCTCAGTCTTACTTAAGCTCTTCAATCACCTCCCCTTCTCCTCTGGGTCAAAGCCGGAGTCCTCCCAAAGGCCTGGCAGAGGCTGCAGATTCTGGCCCCAGAGGGCCGGTGACCAGCCAGCTGCATTCCCCTCCCTCGGGCCCCCCTCACTCTTTCTCCACACTGCTCCTGCCTGGCCAAGGCCATGCTGCCGTCCGCCGGCTCTTCTGCAGACGTCGGTGGGGTTCACCTCTTCAGCTCCCTCAGACCTCGGCTCACCTCTCCCCTGGCCAGTGTTCTAGCCCTCATCACACTTGATGGATAATTATGTCTTTGCTTATTGTCTATTTGCCCTTGCCAGCATGTGAGGCCATGGGAGAGGGAACCCATCTGTTGTATTTATATCCTTAGCGTCTAGAACAGTGCCTGGCACAAAGCAGGTGATCAGCAAATATCTTGTTCAGTGAATGAATGAACCTATGTGTATGACACATCTGTACTTCCTAGAGGGAAAGGCAAGGGAGTTGCACAGTTGCTTCTGTGTGTGTGTGTGTGTGTGCGTGTGTGTGTGTGTGCACTGAAGTTGAACACACTTTGCCCAACAGTGAGAAGTGGCTGTCTGCCCCTGCTCCCACAGCCTTCCTAGGCCCATAGCTTCCCTACATCCATGGGGAGGGATTTTCTGAGATTCCTGACTGTTCCATTGCCAGACCATGCATCAAACTAATATGTATCAATTTGTCCTACAGTAAAGAGGGTTGCAGGCCAACTGCAGAGGCTCACGCCTATAATCCCAGCACTTTGGGAGGCTGAGCTGGGCAGATCATGAGGTCAGGCGATCAAGACCAGACTGGCCAAATGAAACCTGTCTCTATTAAAAAATACAAAAACTAGCCGGGCAAGGTGGCTCATGCCTGTAATCCCAGCTACTGGGAGGCTGAGGTAGGAGAATTGCTTGAACCAGGACCAGGGAGGCGGAGGTTGCAGTGAGCCGAGATCGTGCCATTGCACTCCGGCCTGGGCTACAGAGCGAGACTCCATCTCAAAAAACAAAACCAAAAATAAAAATAAACAGAAAGCAGGGTTGCTATGGCTTGAGTAACACTTAGGGGTAGGATTTCCAGATCACTGTGAATATGTGTCACCTTTGGGGAAGAGCTCACATTCTCAAAATCAGTGGTCCCAGGTTTGAGTGCACAGGTCAGCCTCTGTTTAAAAGATGGATTGGCACCAGCCTACCGTCGATATGAAAAACGCCTGGGGGAAAAGACGCTGTCCTGGGGACCAGCAGCATAGTTATGACATGGCTCAGACAGACAGAGAGAGGGTTGTTCGTGCTGTTTGTCTTCAGCCTACCTTTGCTTCCCATTCAGCAGGACAAAGAAGGAGCTGGGCCTGAGGCAGGACTGCCACCTGTCCTTTCCTTGCCTTTGCTGCAGGATAAAGAGGGCAGGCTGCCGCCTGAGGCCTGGCATCATGAGGGGTGCTCAGCCTGCCGAGCAGAAGGCTTCTATCCCTAATGTGCAAATGACTGGAGATGTTTTATGTGCTTGCCTAGGAGATGAGACAAAGGAACTGCTGAAATGATGATGTGGCCAAGAATGCTGACGAGACTCAGAGGAGGAGGGCTGAATTCCGGAGCCCGGCAGGCCTTGGCTGATAGCAGGTTCAGGGTGGGGGCTGTACTATCACTGATATGGATGAGATTTGGAGGTGTCCAGGTGGCAGCCTTTGAGGTGGGTAGGGTGACGTGAAATGCCATTTAAAGAAAGCAGCTGGCAGTCCTGCGGGCCCTCACACTCCCTCCTCTTCATGGAGTCTGATGGCTCGCACAGCTATGGCCGGAAGATCGGATGATGGCCTCCTGTCCTAGAATCATGCTCTT